ATAAAAAACAAAGATAGTATGAACACAAGAATGCTATTGCTGATTTTCTTCGTCTTTCATATGATAAATTTTTCAAAATTAAAGTTGAAATATCTCCTAAATTAACAACTTCGATATGTATAACTTGATACTTTTATAGAGAATACGAGCTGTATCATTTATTGCTGGATCAAAAAGTATATCATTTCATTTAAAAAACTAAAGATGACAATATCTCGATAAAAAAATAAAACAATATCGATTAGAGTATTATATATATGACTCCCTGAAAATGATGCATTTTTGTTTGAAATATTTTTTCGTACAGCAAGTAATTTACGAATTATTTCAAATTATCGTATTACAATATACACACACACACACGATTGCCTTGTATACTTATACAAGTCCTGCTACAAATTTCGAATTATGCAGAAATTAATTCTAATTTCACACTGATTGAAAATGATATATTGTCTATTAAAATACAAAAAATATTACAATTTATTAGATTCTAAATATGCAAAACATATCAAGAATATTCGAACGAAAACTGTTTTTTTTTTTTTTTTTACGAAATCATATTAATTTACAATAAACAAGAACACATGTAACCACATTACAATTAATCTAAATGGCATAAATAGAACGGAACATTAATATATGTCAAATAAATAATAAGTAAAAATAAATATTTCGAAAAGTTCAGACAAAAAATACGTTCTGCCAAACGTGAACGAATGATTTTTTGTTAATGAACAACTATTAACACTACACATTATGATCAACGTTAATCGTAACTAATCATTGCTACGGAAATTGCTAAACGTAAAACATCCTGGAAGGGGGAAGGAATTCGCTATATCTTTCCTTACAAAGGTATGAAAAGCAGACCTGATTTGCCAACCGTTTCGCTATGTAGAACATTTCATTCGTAATTCCGGGAGTTTGCCGTTGCCAAGTTGGCAACTAAGAGTCGATCGATAAACTCAGATTATTCTAGCTGGCTTCGTTCCCTGCGTATATGGACAAGCTTCCAGTAAAATTCGCATATTTGTATATACTTCGTGTATCGCAGCCGGTTCTATATCTCTCAGTAATTTAACCAATATTCCTATCAGTTTTTAAAAATTGCCTTTTACCTCGCCAACCACGATTTAAGCAGAGTGATTTAACGAGTGTGTTCTTTGATATCATTTGCAGCAGGAAACTGAACACCAGTGTGGATCGACACTACTTTCATTTTTCTAAGTGAACTTTGCCTAACTCTTTGCTAATATGCACTTATTATTAGAGCTTGTTAACCTAAAAATAGAGGATGTTAACAAAATAATTATCTATCTTCTATGTTCGAAGAGATTAAATTTTTGAGATATATTCTGAAAGAAATAATAAATTATTTTATTTAATTTCAGAATAAGATGACGATTCACAGACTTCGTGCGTTTGTACAAGACCAATATTATCTTTTTGACAATTTTTCTACAGAAACAAAATTTGCTTCTGCAATATGCATTCGTATGTGACTTCAATTATTTTCACAAATTTATTTAGACGATAAATAGTTCTTGTAAAAGATTCCAATTTTATATGTGTATAAACTAATTGTTAATATGAACTATGTTTGTGTGGTATGTATGTGGGTACACATGTAGTATAGGAATACATAAACATATGTCCTAGAAATCAGACATTTGTTATTATTTATAAAATTCAATCAAAACAATCATAATTATATATAGGGTGGCCATTGAAAAACTGAAGAGTTCGAAAAAGTCATAACTTGTCGTTTTCAATCTTTCGTATTTGTGAGCAGGAAAATGGTGGTCGTTTGAAGGATGTTTTTCACACGTAATACTGAAAAAAATCCATTAATTATATTTCCAAATAAAATAATAAAAAATTTAGAAAACGTGTTTGTAAAAATTATTTTTGTTTAATATCATTCAGTCTTTCAGTGGCCACTCTATAGAAAAAGAAACTTCTCACCAATTTTAATAATCTTAGAATATGTTGTTAAGGTCATCATTCTGAACAACTTTTCTTTATACATGTTATGGCTGTTTGATGAGGAGTCCCTTTTTCCAAATAATTATCCAAAAGATTTTGACTGAATTGAGAGAGACTACATCTATTTGTTATAAAATATAATATAATATACACGTTAACATAATATATACTTTAAATATAAATGTAAATAGTATGAATGCCATGTATAATTACAATATCAGTATATTGTTGCAAAAATTGCATATTTTGAAAACAATTACACACCTGTTTCTAATGCACGTGTCTCCTTACTACATATTTAGAATCATAAATAGATATACCTATATATTTATAAATATATAGAAGAAATATATATACTTATAAATATATAGAAGAAATAAAAATGTAAAGAAAAAAGAATTATACTAATAGCATTTAGTAAATCAAAAATCATATATGAATGTAACGTGATTTTTTCATTTTTTTTTATTAGGAATTTTAATGCAGTAATAATATGTAATAAAAATATTAATAATTGATAGAATAATTTAAAATGTAATAGAGAAAATAATTTTATTATTTAATTATTGTTATTACAAAAATTATTTAATTATTATTGTTATTACAAAAATTATACGTTATTATCACGATTACCATACAATACTATAAAATTGAATTTTATGTAAAAATTAGATTCCAACCAGCCTTGAAATATTTTACTTATGCAACTTGTATTATTTCGAAGTTTTAAACAAAATACATAAAAATTTTACTGATTCAATAGATGGACCACCGCGATTCAAACAACAATATTTAAGGGCAATGAATATATCAACGAATTACGCATCGGATTAATTTTAATATAATAAATTAATATAGTTTTAATATAATATATAATAACATATATTATTGATAAACTCCTTAAGGAATGATTTTATTACAATCTTTTTCATTTGAGTCCTTCAAATTTGGATAATCTCAAATATATTAATTTGTTTTGTCACTATTATTATTATTATATATGGTGTTCCATTCATCACTGTAGTATCATGACATTATGTAATACAAGCTTTTTAATAAATGACTAAATTAAATTAATTCCTTTCATAATGAAGGTTTAGAAGTTTTAGTTTTAGAAGAGCATCCGAAAAATTAATGATACATTTTGAAAATGCTGATAAGTATTTATAATTTTGGAACAGTTATTTACAATTGTAACAAATCTGAGATAAATGATTATAGCATTAGAAAAAGTAAAATCACGATATAAAATTGATTTATAAGTGACTTATACATGAGAGTAGGATTTATCTTACAATTGAATATGAAAATTTGGTTTATTTGTTGTCAGCAAAAGAATCTGCGAACTTAATTATTTATTTTTTAACATTGTAGACATTAATTTTTTATCATTATGTCAATCTGAGACAAATTAAGTTAGAAAAAATGAGGGACGGATGAATTAATAGTTATTGTTTCTAGCATGAGAATAAATGAAAAATAATTGAAAAATTTATTAAATAAATAATTTTTATATTAGCAAAAAGGAGCAAAACAGTAATATACAACTGAAGATAAGCATCCACTCTGACTTGTTCTCTGTTGTTCTTGATTTGGTTTGTCACTCTGAATTTGGTTCTAGTTAAATTGTTTTTATAGGTGGCTTAAGGGATTACATATCTTTGAATGGTTGCAAAATAAAGAAAATTCAAGAACTTTTTTGAAGATCAAATTATATTTCATTAAGAAAATAATATATCCATCTTATTAAATATTATTCATTTAGTAATTACTAAATATATGAAAGTAGGAGGGCATGGCAATCATTTAACTATGGTCGTATTTATCAAAACATCATTTGAGGTATATCTCAGGTATATACCAAGTATATCTCAGCAACATTTTATATCTAGTAATTCTCCATAACTCTACTCCATGAGTCAACATTGTGGCTATTGTCAGCTTCAGGATAATTTTATAAATAATTAGCTGTGTAGAAACCAGTACATTTTGTACAGTTTAAGAACTCTAAGTTCTTTCTTTTTATGTGCTTTTCCCATAAAAATTGACGAGTTAGAAATCATTGG